TTCCAAGCCGAACTCCTTGTGAGTAAGCCAGTGCCTCGCCATGCGGCGGCTTACTCGCAAGGAGATCGTTTCCTCCGAGTTTGGACTCGCTTGAAAAAATGATCTCTGTGCGCGCCCACCCCCCAGCCCGGCCCGGCCCGCGTCTCCCGCCCACACTGCCTTGGCCCCCGGTGCCCATCACCGGCACCAATTCACGCTTTTTCACAATTTGCAGATGCTTTAGGAACATAACCCCCATGAATTTCGGGGGACTACTGTATTACTAAATGTGGGAAATTACACAAAATTCAGTAATTATTATTACATCTACCAAATTTATGACATCACTTTTAACTTTTTATTTCTTACTTAAATTAATTCTTAATTAAAATTAACAATTATTACATAAAAATAATTTAACATGGCTATCAAGTAAAAGATAATTCACCCTATACTATATCTACAAATCCACCAACAAATTAATAATTGATAGTATATTTGTTCTGTGAAACTAACTTTTTTTTATTATGCTATTGTTTTATTTGGGAAAAAGGGGGAAAGAAAAAAAAAACATGTAACGTTTAGAATATTGTGTCCAGTTCTGGTCACCTCACCTGAATAAGGACATTACTGAGTCAGAAAAAGTACAGAGCAGGGCAAGGAAAATGATCAGGGGCTGGAGCATCTTCTCTATCAAGAGAGGCTACAACCAGTGGGACTGTTCTGCTTTAAAAAAAAGAAAAGTAAGGGAAGGTATGATATAAGTTTTTAAAATAATTCATGGAGTTGAGAAAATGGGAGGGGAAAACCTTTTTCTCCCTATCCTATAACACTTGAACCCAAGGTCATCCCATAAAGCTGAAGGGGAAGGCTTAGGACAAACAAGAGAAAGTACCTCTTCACACAATTAGCTGGACTATGGAATTCACTGCCATGGGAGCTGGTGATGGCCACCAATCTGGATGGCTTTAAAAAGGGATTGGACAGATTCATGCTTGAAGGCGCTATCAGTGACTACTAGCATTACTGGCTAAATGCTACCTCCTTCACCAGAGGTGGTATGCCTGCATATACACCAGTTGCTGAGCAGCTTGTGCAAGTGGAGGTCTTGTACCCATCCTGCTTGAGCAATCCTGTGCACAGCTGGTTTGCTACCATGTGTATGCTACTATATGTAAAATGTTAAAGTCTTGCAGATCTGCATCTCTCTCCATCCCCTCCACTTTAGTCACGGTGAGACTCTACCTTCAGGATGGCTCCTGTTGGTGGAAAGTTAGCCTCCGAGATCTAAGCAAGCCATCTAACTGGATAGCTTCTCTCTCCCTACGCCTCACCACAGGGTCAGAGATAAGATAAGGAGCTGATCTCCCTCCTCTCCTGTAACCTCTCCCTTCTCTTCCAAAATAGGGCTTGAAATCTTGGCTTCCCCTTTGATCCTCCAGCCATGGAGCTTTGCCTCCCTTTGATCCTCCAGCCCTCCTCTTCCATATATTCTTCAGAATCTGATGACTCATGGCTCTGGAAAGTTAGCAAAGAATGAATGCTAGCCCACTCACTACACTGTTTTCCATCTACAAGATTGTCCAGAAGCTACTGCTGTTACAGAACATTGTGGCCTGGTTGTTGATGGGAGCAGCAAGGAGACATTGCAACACCTTGGAATCAAAGAAGGGTGAAAGCACTGTACTGGCTGCAAATAATCTACGCAACCCAATTCAATGTCATGCTTGGTATACACAGGTTTGGGCCAAAGTACTTGAAGTGCCTCTCCTGTAATGCCTTATGACTGGCAGAAGACGCCTTGTTCATTCTGCCACCTATAGCAGAAATGAGAAACATGGTATAAAGACACAAGGTATTGCTTGTGATGCCACTCCATTTATGGAACTATATCCCTGGTGATATCAGGTTAGCCTCCACCATCCAATTATACTAAGACTTAAGTTGTTTCTATTTATTTAGTCATAAAGTTGCTTAGATGTGATCCTAGTGAGAGTTATTCCTGCTTTGTTATTGTATTATGATTTTAAGGGCATTAAATTTAAATTATTTTATTACTGTTTTGGCATTTGCTTTACTAGGTGTCCTATGGGCCAGAATTGGGCAGGATATAAAAATAGCAATACACAGTACTGTATTACACAGAAGTGTTGTATTACACAGAACAATACACAGAAGAATGATGCAAGAGAGATAAAAGCAGACAGATTCCTTCAAAGAAGGCTCCTGTGAGCAGATCCTGCAATATCACAAAGTGAAGTGAAAGCAGCTCTGAAAGCACTTGGAAGGAATAAAGCATCCAGAGTAGGTAAGATGCCAGAACTATTCCAAGCTGCAAAGACTGAATCAGTCCATATCCTAACAAAACTATGTCAACAAGTATGGAAAACAAAATAATGGCCCACAGACTGGAAATGTTCTATACACATTCCAATTCCCAAGAAAGGAGATACAAAAGAATGCAGCTACTACAGTGCCACTGCACTGATTTCCCATGCAATCAAAGTGATGCTTAGACTGATGCAACAAAGATTATTGCCTCATATAGAACAAGAAATGCCTGATATTCAAGATGGATTCGGAAAAGGAAGGGGCATTCAAGTTCATATTGCAAATATATGTTGGCTACTGGAGCTCACCAAAGAATTTCAGAAGAAAGTCAGTCCATTCTTTATGGACTACAGCAAAGCCTTTGACTGTGAGGATCAAGAGAAGCTATGGATGGTCCTGAAAGAAGTGGGGGTGTCTCAGCATCTGATTGTCCTGATGCATAATATGTAACATGGACAAGAAGTTACAGTTAGCGCAGGATACAGAGAAACAGAATGGTATCCTATAGGCAAAGGCATCAGACAAAGGTGTATTTTATCTCCCTGTCTGTTTAATCTGTATGCAGAAAGCTGACTTAGAATCAGAGAAAGCAATGAAAATTTTGCAGAAGATACATCAATAAATTTAAGATATACAAATAATACCATACTACTGGCAGAAAGCAGGAACAAATTGAAAATACTCCAAATGAAAGTGAAAGAAGAAATAGCAGGACTGCAGCTGAGTATTTAAAAAAACCAAGAATTATTACAGAAGAATTACACAAAGATTTTTACATACCTTGGCTCAGTCATCAATTCAAACAGAGACTGCAGCCAAAAAATTAGAAGAGTGAGATTTGGAAGAATAACAATGAATAACTACAAATGTAAGCATGTTTTACTGGAGACCAAGGCCAAAATAAACCACAATACTGTATTACCAATCACTATGTATGTGTATGAAAGAGGAACAGTGAAGAAAGCTCACAGGAAGAAAATTGATGCATTTGAAACACGGTGCTGGAGGAGAGCTTTGCAAATATCCTGAACCAACGGAAAGCTAAACAAGTGAGTCCTATATGAAATCAAGCTAGAACTTTCCCTGGAAGCAGAAAATTACAAACTGAAGCTGACATACTTTGGGCACATCATGAGAAGGTAAGAGAATCATGCTAAATCAAAGGCAGAAGTGGAGGAGGAAATCAACTATGAGCTGGATCAATTCCAAAAAGGAAGCCACAGCCATGAAATTAGAAAAGCTTAACAGAGCTGTCAAGGTCAGAATATTTTGGAGGGTAGTGATTCACAGGGGCATTCAAGTCAGATGCTACAGAAAAACAACAAAATAAATTTCCAGACATGAAACTCTGACTACAGGCCATAATTATCTATAAAAATGTCACCGCAACAAGCAGAATGCAAATACGTGAGTCATTAAGGAAAAAGATATATTTATGTTCAATTGTTATTCTTCTTAATGAGAATTTATTACATTCCCAGGAATAAAACAAAAGCTTTTTAATGTAACTTATACAGTAGTTATACAATCAATATGCCTAAGAAGGCAGAAAAGTTGTGATAACCTTTCAGCTAGCTACAATTCAGACAGTTCTGTCTATATCCATGTCTGTTTCATATTACATTTTTGTGACTTATTGTGTCAGGTTTATCCATTCCAAGACCTTCCTGAAGCTATTGCAAACTAAGCTCATTAGAAAATACTAGCTGTATTTTGGGTTCCATCAGAGAGCCTCTCTCTCTTTTAGTGGCATTCATCTCTTGACTTACACATTTCAATTATTTCAGCTAAATAAAGAGTTGGAGTTCTCTTACTCTATACTGCAGTTAGTGGCCTGAAGGTCAGACACATTTTCTATATGCTTTTGCCTTGGCTGAAATATTTCAAGTGCAAATATATAGAAGTTGTGAACATTTTGCTAAGTAGGAGAAGAAGACTTTAACATTTTACATATAGTAGCATACAAATAGCTTCCTAGCCAGTCTTGGTAATATCATTTATCTTTCCTTAAGGGGAAAAACAAGTTCTCTACAAGGCAACCACACACAACAGCAGACAAAGAGGAGCTGAAAGAATGGCAAGAATCCATTAACAATATATGGCATTAACAATATATGGCAGAAGAGGATTCCTGCCAAAAGTTCCTTCTGAATCAAGACTTCATGAAGGCATAGAGCCCATATATGTGATGCACAAGGACCATAAAGAACTGGTTGGTTTCCACTCTTCAAAAATTCAGAAGAAATGAAACAACTTGCCCATCAATAAGCTGACATACCAGTGCTTTGTACCATTGTTCACAAAGCTGATCTCTGTCTTTTCTTGTTTGTGACTGAGCTGAAACCACTTTTAGGACATTAAAAAATGTATGCTACCAGCTTGCCATAATGCACAGTAAGATGATTTGTCAGAACACACTCACTGGAGTCAATTGAAACTATTCTTATGAAGACACAATAGAGTTTTTGTGTATGCAGAGAAGTCAATTACACAGGTAAACTTTATGAATCTTAGTACCAATTCCCATTTTGCTCCTTACAAGAAGTAGTTCTTTTATAATGGAAGGTGAGAAAATCATTAGTTAACCTCATTCCCCATGTTAATTAGTATTTATCATATGTGCCAGCAGCAATGCATTCTGCCTCTTGATCATTGCTATAGCTAAATAAATATATAAAATATTTCCTTACTCTCCAGCATATACTTCTTGGTAATGGGTAAAGGCAGCAGTCTGATGTGACTAAGGAGGGAGCCCCAGGCATAGGCTCTGGAGAGTGTAGTTTCAGGTGGTGAAAGGGAATATGGCTGGATCATGAAGTACACAGTCAGTAAAACTAACCCCAAGGTAACCAGACCCTGCAAGAGAAGACAGACATTAGATTAATCACCCTACAGTAATCAGGCAGGTATTCAAAGTGAGAACTTTCATGATCTCAAAGAGAGTGTGCATGAAACTATTGTAACAGTGAGTGTACACACACTATTACAACAAAAACATTTACAGTGGGACGGACAACTTTTTACCCCAGTAGACTACGTGCTGGTAATTGTGGCCAGAGCTGGCAATACATGTGGGTTCTCAGCTAGACATTTCCTTATCCATCACAGACACAAACAAAGAGCTGTCTGACAGGCTACAGAGGAACAATTTTCGTAAGAAATCAGCACGTATCACTGGCAACTTGGGAGCCTGTTTGGCCAAGCACGTGTGTGGCACTGAAGGCCTCCGAAGAGTCCATGTAGCCCACAGGCTGCCCACATGCAATTTAGAAGCTGATTATCATTTTCAGTTACAAAGGAAAGATCAAAAATCCCAGATGAAGCAAAACCATAGATAAATAGTGCATAGATTTTCACATCACAATATTGTTTGTTCTGTGGCTGTGATCCAGGATACTATGTGACTAGCTCACAGGACCCTATAACATTGTAGAGCATGCTACTTTTGGAAATTCAGAGAAGATGGAGGAAGAGTCCAAAGTCTTCACCTTCAAGCACAAGCTCTCCTGTATACACCAAGAGGTTCTCAAGGCTGCAGCCTCCTTGTGTCAGTACAAAAGGAATCTTCATCAAGCGTTAATAGTATTGTATACATATAGTATACATAGTAAAACAACTAGAACATTTTATTTTATGTGGCCCTTAAGAAAAATAAACAAAAGTTAGGATTCCTTGATTTTTCTGACTTCCAAAATTCAAACCCTGGAAAACCTAGAAATATGGGACATATATCAATCTTCATCAGCATCAATGACAAATCCTTTCAGCTTCATGTACATATCCACAAGCTCAAATCATACAGGTTTATCTGTGCTAGAAGCCCTCTGCCAAGTGGCACAGACTAGACAGTGGTGATACCCACTAAAACTGGATTTTCAATCAAATATGGACCTTGTTCACACACTGCAGCCCCTAGGGTTTTCAAAAACAATGGATTTCACGAATGAGCAAGCACACTAAGTCACTCAACAGGAGCAGCTGGACAGCTCAGGCACACTCTGTCCCTGGGTAGTTTAACATAAAATCCAATTACAAATGTCTGGCTTGTCTTGTCCTGACAAGTCAGAGCTGTTTCCAGGAGAGTGTGGGTACCTCTCTTTACTCTGATCTAGTTCAAATACAATGACAACCCACAAGTTAACTATCCCATGAGTTGCTATGCATGAGCAGGCGAAAGTAAGTGCATTACATTTAAAAACACACTCACCACTCCATTTTTATCCCACAATCCACTATTGGCCCATTCATAGGTTGTGCAGCATGAACTTTGTACCAAGGGAGAATCAAAACAAAATTATTCCATTGCATGTATAGCTCCCCTTCTATCTTCTTGTGAAGAACTAAAGGTAGCTTACCCAGTTCTTCACTCTATTTTTATCTTCACAACAACCATCCTGTGAGGTAGGTTCGGCTGAGAATGAGTGACTGGCCCAAAGTCACCCAGTGAGCTTCATGGCCAAATGCAGACTAGAACCCGCGTTTCCCAGGTGCCACTCTCACCACCACACCACTCTGGTTCATTGCAGAAAGACCTCTTAACTGGTCAAAGCCCTATCAATAACCAACTGCTGGTGCTGCTGCCTCCTGACAAGTGATCACAAAAATAAAAGCTGAAATTATTCTGGATGAACAAACTATAATGAGGGAATGCTTTTCCTAAAGCATACATTCAATACATATGCTTGCCTATACAACAATGCTATAGTACAGGATCTGCAGCACATACCCATGGAAGCTTCCATGATGCCTGCAAAGCTCTCCCTTCCCCACCTACTTCAAAAGCTTTGTCTGTTTTAAGCCTTGGAAAAAGTTAGGGCTTTCTTCTGTCTCTCCCTTTCTAGCCTCTAGCCTTGCTCCAGCTCTCCTTTCTACTCCCTGCCTTCCTACTTGCCCCCAACTCCAAGCTGTGGCCTATTTCTCTCTCCAGCTCCTCTTTAGCTCGCTTTTGACTAACCGGGGGCATGCAGCAGTCATTATACATTCTCCATGAGAGCCATTTTGTAATGGTGCCCACAACCATTACTCAAATTCCCAAATGTGCCCATGTGTTCAAAAGGCTGGTGACTCTGGAATACAACATGGTTGCATGTGTTTAATAATATGGCAAATATGCAGTCAGTTTTAAGCAATCAGACTAAGCTAAGCAAACAAGAGACCAAATCTTTATGAATTCTAACATTTCTTCCAGACAACAAGCAGAATAAATAAAGTTATTATTGTGCTTGAAGCCTTTAACTAGCCTGTTATACTGTTACTGCTGGGTTTTACTCTACATGGATCTCATACTGTAGTGCACTTCTTGTAAGGATATGAGGAAACACTCACAAATGTTTTACCTTGTAAAGAAACATCAACAGAGGGTAACGCGGAGGTCCTCTTTGTGGTTCATTTTTCTCCAAGAGCTGTCTGATGAATTTCTCAATGGCCTTTTCAGACATGCCACATTGATAACCAGTCTGCCTCACCAAGTCAATGGTCTCTGAGAGTTTATCATAAATGCTGAGTTCACTGGCAGAAAGCTCCATGTTTTCTGGAGAAAAATCCTATTAGGGAAACAAAGTATTTCAGTGCCACAAGATGGTGTCATTTCCCAATGTAAGCAATCTTTATTTGTGGTATGATTATAAAGCATCAGTCTGAGGCCTGATGAGAATATGCTTTTCAAAACCAAGGGAAATTGTTCAATCTAGACAACCAAACTTCTGCATTTTAAACTTCATAAAATATAGGATTATTTTATTTATTTCAGTAAAATACATAATTGATCCTATAAAAATAGTTTGTTTACACTGAAAACAAAAGGGTAAGCACAGAAAGAACAAAGTTCTTCCTTTGCTAAGTTTCTCTTACAGTGTTTGGTGCAACTCTAATCTTTGCAGCTACCTCACAGCTGGTTTTGCACAAAATGGCAACTCACCATGGGGACAGTGGGTTATAATGGCGTGTGAGCCTGCCACACTTCCTGCAAAGTGGCTTGTTTTTCCCTCAACAAGCCACCTTTGCAACCCATGGCTTGTTATAGACTGTTGTAAGGGTTGCTGGGCCCACAACAGGTTGTCACATCACCCAAACCCAGCCAACTAACCCCATCATGAATCAAGGGAAGCAGCAAGCATGCCACTAGCCACTACAAGTTACTGCCAGTTACTCCACTAAGTACTTTGGAGCAACTGACAGTGATTCACTCCACCTTGCTCCAACAGCAACCTCTTCTGTGATCATTATGGCCTTTTTGTTCTTTAATGAACATATTTTTGTGATATCCAGAGAACCAGCCCATCCAAAGTGCCCAAGGCATCCATTGCTGTAAGCATCACAGGTTCACCACCTATTTTTAAAGTACCAGATTCATAAGCAAATGTTTTTTGTTAATTTAAAATTTAGCAGATCAGGCTGCACAAGTGCACAACCCCAACTACCTGAAAAGCAAAGCCTTGCCCTGGGAATGGCCTGGTAAGTGCCTGCTATGAAAGCAGGCAACATTCATGGACATTGACCAAACCAGGCTTCAACTATATTGCTTTGCTTTCACCTGACAGCTGTCGAACAGCAAGCTGTCAAATGACAGACAAAATCATGAGAAATATTTGCTTAAACGGTGGAATGGCGATTACATTACCCCGTAACATCCTCTATATTTCAAGTTTGGACCTCAACATGCCCCATGTGTACCCACTGAAGAGAGCAGTCAATTTTGACAGATGCCAAAAATAAATGTTCCTTTTAAAACAGTTTTTGAAAGGACTATATAGCATTTTTGGGAGGGACATACACATATTTCAAGACTTAAAGCCAGCCCCTTCTCACAGCTCCTTTTCAGAACCATTACTATGGTACCAGACACCCATAAAAAGGCCCTTGATAATACAGCTGAATGGGGTGAAGTGAATGGAGCCACACTCATGGGGGCAGCCACCAATCCAACCCATTCTGCCACCTCTAAACAGCTTTTTTAACTCTCTGGGAAATTAGCACAATTTTTCAGGGAAACAGATGTAGATTTCAAGGTTAGGAAGTAAAGAATAATACTAATTGAGTGGAAATATACACAAATGTCAAGGCTGCAAAGTAAATTGAGGAAACATAAAATCCAAGTTTTCCAGCCTTGAAATCTGTATATATTTCCTCATATCTTACTTCCTAGCCATGAAATGAGTTTATATCTCCCAGTCTCCTAGCAGAATCTATGATTTACAGTTATCAGCTCACATTCCCTTACCCATGTGATACTGAAAGGAGAAGATGTGGGCCTGGAATGAACCCTTCAGACCCCACAATAGAGCAGCAACTCCATTATGTATACATATGACCAGCACTTTTTCCAGATCTAGTGCCTAGGAGTTGTGTAGAGCACTCTAACGACTGGATTCATGGATTTAAACTAGAAAGCAAATGCATAGCAGAATTTCCTAATAAGACACAGAAGCAAGAATCTAAATCACATCTTCTTTGACCAACAGGAGCACATCTGCAGGCAAGCAATGAAATCTTTTTCCTGGTTAGAAAAATGTTTAGAGGCATTAAAAAAAGTGGTGTGGGCCCTACTCATAGTTCTGTACAAGTAAGGTATTGGGTTTCAATCTGTGAAAACTATTTTAGGAGTAACACTAAGACTTAAAACTAAGTGTGAGAGAGTGTGGGTGCATGAGCAATGATGTCCTTTCTACCATATTTACAAGTCCCTTCAAGACTATATTCTATCTCCTGTGTCCTTACTAAATGAGACTTATCTGGATTTTAAAAATATGGCTAGGGCCATTTTATTCATCTATGTAAAAGATACAATAGATCCTATAAAGCTATAATTTTGTTTTATTTCATTTAATTAAGGTTGTCAAGCTAATAAAAACCTGAGAGTTCACAAAAAAGAGCTGCCTTCACTTTCTTATAATTCTAAGCACTGCTGAAAGTACAGAAACAAATGGACTGAGAAACTGAGATTTCTATAATTGATTTGTTCAACTGTCAGTTTGTAATGCTAGACAAGTGTCCTTAAAAAACCAGGCATCAATTTTGTAGCTCCTCAACCTACATGGCAGTTTATAACATGAATATGAAGTAAAAGTATCACAAAATTCTGCAGTGTATTAAAGCTCATCAATGAGAACTGCCAGAACTCCAAACACCTCAGATAGATACAATACTAATAGCTGAGTATAACATTAAAATCCATACTGCTGTGGAAAGCCATTTGGTTGACATTCCTAAGGCACTAAATTCTAGCTCCTACTACCATTTATTGTGGCAGAGATGTAAACTCTATGACCTTCCAAATCCCTCTGCTCCTACATTTCTACTATCATAAATGAACCAGAAGTGAAAATATACTTCACTTCTTACAAAAGCTGTTTACACACCCCTAGACAAGAGGATGCCAACCACCTTTCACCAGTATAAAGGCTCATGGCAGCAACAGAACTTGACAAGCAGCAACAATGTTTTAATTTTAATCCCAGGAGCCTCCATCATTTTTATTTACAATTAGACTGCAACAAATCTCTCCTCTATTATACTTAGTAGAGCTACCAGCAAGTATTAAGTGAAAAGCACTAGCATCAAGTTTCCAAAACCAAGGTTTCAATCATGCCACATTTTAAGGAAAGCGCTTTACCAACACAGGTGATAGAGATTATGTTTAAACCTACATTTTCCAACGTGGTGGCCTCCAATGTTTTAGACCACAATTCCCATAATCTCTTTTAACCAGGTTGACAGAGGCTGACAGGAGTTGTAGTTTACAACAAGAAGAGTACCACACTGGAGAAGGCTGGCTTAAAATTATTCCTTAACAACAGAGGTATGCTTTGCCATCTGAACTATTTACTTTCTGCACAGCACATTTGTGCTAACAGCACATCTATCACTTTCTGGAAAAGACACTGAAAATCCATTAGACAGTGCAGTTGAAGCATTCATTCACCTGCATGAAATCAGTTACATAACTAAAACACTCGTCATGAATTCCTTCATGCATTATGTATCACCAGTAAGATGGTAAACATGAGGAATTTTAGTTGCAATACTCAACATTGTTTTAAATGCACTGGACTAGACAACTGGTTTACAGATATCCGCTAAAGAATCGACCATGTTGGAACATGCAAGGAAGATTACAATTTCTGGGATTTACAGTTACACCCTTATGTTCCTGGTGGTACAGGGACTTATTTTTCAATTCCATTTCTCCTCCATTCCTCGCAAATGCAGGAATCTTGTACATACCCACTCAGAAGCAAGCCCCACTGAGTTCAACAGGACTTCCTTCCAAAATTTATAACACTACGGCATTACTACTCAGTGGAGGAAACCCATGGCCACGACTGGGGCTGCCAGCAGTAACTGCTTGGACCTTTGCCATACACACCCACAGCCCCATCTCCCCCAGTGTGACGGCGGCCCACCTGGGACCGGGCGGCCCTTCTCCCTCACGCAAGATCGGCAACGCGTCCCCAGCCTTCAGGACTACCGCGCCCGCCCGCTACCGGCTTCTCCCCGCCCCAATACACCGCCTCCCTCAACGTCCCCAGCGGCCTCCTCACGCCCGTGGCCGGTTGCCTCCCGAACATAACAACGATCCTCCCGGCCGCTTCCGCCAGGCTCACCGGCTCAGGACCCGCCGGACGGGCCGCACAGCGCTGCCGAGGCGCAGGAAGGGCACATGGGACCGAGGCTGCCGCGCACGCGAGTTCAAACGGCAGAGCCCGTCGCTTCCTGCTTCCGGGTCCGCTCGGAGCCAAGCCGCGGATTCGCGGCAGCACATTCGCGGTGAAGGCTTCTTCTCCCAGCCCCAGTCAAGAAGCGTACTAAACTGATTGGACCACCTTTTATTCTGCCCCGCATTATCCCCGACACAGCCATGGATGTTTACTCGTAAGTAGGCGCCAGGTAGTCCAGTAGGGCTGATTCGCCAGGTGAGGCTGCAAACCCTACGCGCACTTAAGCGAGCGTCCCTTGTAAACACCTGCGGGATGCAGGTAAAGGCCGTGATCTTTGCCGCCTTGAGTTCTTTTATTTCCGAGTAAACCTGCATATCGGGTTGTACGAGTGACTGAGCTTGCTTTCATGGCCACCGAACTTAAGCCCATTTGCGTGGAAGAAAGTCCACTGAGTAAGGGCACAGGATTTCAGCGTTGATTGCCAGCTTCTTTCAGGCAGTGTTGCTAGATAGAAATGTCAGACAAGAAGGACATCTACACCAGTGGTTGTCAACCTTTCCACAGCTGGGGACCGGTGAAAACAGGAAAAACCCCTCGGGGACTGAAGAGGCAGAAACAAAAATCACCATACACATAATACAGTATTCTGTTTATTAGTTTCCAAACACAATACCAAAAAAATGAAAATTCTCCAAACAACCAGAAACTGAGCAACAAAAAATGCCAGCAAAAGGACAAAATACTGAAATAGGCACAGCGTGGCTCCCACCAAGCTGTCTCCCCTCCTTGGCCCCCCTGGCAGCACCGGCACATCCACAAGAACATGATGCTGAGGAAGAGGTGGTGGAGCAGAGTCAGGCCCCACACTGGCCCGCAACAAGTGGGAT